TCTGCTGTCTAATTCCTCTTACTTGCTGCCCAAGCTTTGGGCATTTCCTTGCGTCAGGACACCGAGGTCATGGCTGTGCTGCTGGTTGTCCCTTTCTTGGGTCTTGTCTCTGAAGAACTTCCGGAGGGCCCAGGCTGTTCACTGCAGCTTCTCTCCTTCCACCAAGCTTGATGCATACGGGGAGGCAGTTGGCTCCACCCCCACCCCCAGACTGTCCTGTTCCAAGTCCTTTTGATTTACTTTGCAGGACACCTGGAAAATGCATTTTTAGCAGCCTTTGTCAGGTGCATTCTATTCCAAGCCAGCAAATCCCACTCCCAGGCAGCATCTCCTCTCCTTAACCCGCTGTTCACATCCCAAAGGAGCCCTCTCTTCAGCCTCCTCGGCCTTCAAACCCCTGCTGGCCCCTAGCCCCCTCCAGCCGCAGACTCTTTCTCTGCCAAGAATCTGAGGTTCCCTCTGGCCGAATCATCTTTGTCCTGGTCAACCATCGGGTTTGATAAACCTCGGGAAGCCGCCAGGGGCCATGCCCCAGGAAGACAACAGTTCTCTTGGTCATCAGATTGCCTAAGAGCTGCCTCAGTTCCCCCTGCGGGGTGGCTGCCGCCCTTCTCTTCTTCCTGAGCCAGAAGTGGGTCAGTCAGTCTCTCTGTAGGTGGTCGTCATCTCAGTCCATAGTCTGTGGTTATCTTCACTTTATCCTTGGGGTGGGGCAGGGAGACCAGCGCCCACGCCCACCTCCTTCTCAGAGCACCCAGCTCTCTCCTCCTCAGGAACAGCCCCACACATCTGTTCCAGTTTTCTTAGCTCCAGGGGTCAGGGGTCCTTGTGGGCCCTTCCCCTCTGCAGGTGCAGGTTGGCTCGCCTGCCTCTCTGCTGCTCCGACCCTCTTCTTCCCCTGCATCGGCCCCTGGGGGGGGGGGGGGAAGGCATTCACACGCTTTGAAGTTGCCTCGACTTGGGATAGCTGCATGGGAAACCAGGTAGGTGCACCTGATGGAGCCCTGAGGGCTGGCCCTGGTCTGCACCTAGGTGACCCTGTGGCAGTGGGGGAGGGGTCAGCCTAGACGCTCCACGCTGGAGAATGGGGGGAGTCCTGCACCTCACATCCAGACGGTTCTTCTTCCTGCCAGGCTGAGGAGGATGGGATGAGGAGAATTGGCTCACCCTGGGCCTGTGATCTGGTCGTGTCCTTTGTGGCCGCCCCCCACACACATACATCCTTGGGGGTCTCAAACTCAGCACCTTGCTCCTGAGGCAGAAAGGGAGGCGAGGCTGTGGCCCGCTGATGAACATCTTCAGTCAGCCAGCCATCTTCTGTTGGGTGGATGCCCCCCCTCTGGGATCCCTGAGGGATGAGACCCCAGGGACCAGATGGGGGGGGCAGCAGAGGAGCCCTGGGGGGAACCAGAAGGTGGGAGGAGAAGAGAAGCTCTAAACAAGGGAGCAGCCTGCTGGAGGCTCCCTGGGCCGAAGACAGCTCAAACTTGATGATGGCGTGGCTCCATGCGGCTGGTTTTCACGGCGGTGCCAGGGAGGGCGGCCGCCTCCTCTCCACCCTCCTGGCAGAGCTTGCTAAGCTCTATGCCACCCAGAGACACGCCAACACAGCCACAGACCCTCAGCCTGCCAAGGAAGCTGACCTTACTGTCCTGATGGAAGGCACATGTGGGGGATCGGGACGAGGAAGCTGAGACTCAGAAAGGTAAGGTGACTTGCCCAGGGTCACAAGGTGTCCAAGAGGTTCCAGCAAGAGGTCTTGCCACCTCCAAGTCCACTTTCCTAAGTTATCGAGCCACAGAGAGCTGAGGCGCATTGAAAGCCAGGAGCCCCAGCCATGCCCTTACCTGTCCAGGCAACCAGGCTCTGCTCTGGGGCTCTCTCAGAGTACCGGGCCCTCTGGCTACCTGACAGAAGGAGGGCAGTGTCTCCAGCTTGACTTGTCTTCTCCCCCCACCCCAGACCTTCAGAACTGTCCTCTTCCCAGCTTAAGCCTTCACAGGACAGAGGGGTAGCCTCGGAGAACATTCATGTCCTCTCCTGCCTCTGTAGGAAGTCATGAAAATAATCAAGCCCTTTTACCCAATAATGGGATTATTAGGAACATACCTGGAAATTGGGAGGGGTGACAGTAGGGATGAAGTCCCTTCAAAGGTGCTTGTAGAGGCACCGTTGGTCATTGCAAAGAGTGGTGGGAGATCTCATCTGACCAGAGGAGCCAGGGAACCAGGGAGCCAGGGTATTGGTCAATGTGAAAGGTAGGAGAGGCCAGGAGGAGAAGGATGGAAATACAGCCAGAAAACACACTGACCAGGAGCCCGCAAGGGTTGAGGATGCTGGCAAAGAGACAACAGTGAGGGGCAGTGAGGTGGCACAGTGGATAGAGCACTGGCACTGGGTTCAGGAGGAACTGAGTTCAAATCCAGCCTCAGACACACAACACTTACTAGCTGTGTGACCCTAGGCAAGTCACTTAACCCCACTGCCAAGCCAGAAGAGAGAGAGAGAGAGAGAGAGAGAGAGAGAGAGAGAGAGAGAGAGAGAGAGAGAGCGAAAGAGAGAGGGAGAGAGAGAGAGAGAGAGAGAGAGAGAGAGAGAGAGAGCGCAGTAACCAGGGCGCACTGGGATTCCTATCGATCAGCAAGCAGAGAATGAGCACCTACTGTGTCCCAAGCACCTACTGTGTGCTCGGCCCTGGGGGATGCAAGCATAAACAATGAAGCTACCCCTATGCCCAAGGAACTTCCCTTCCATTTGGGGTAAATCAGTCGGTTTAGTTGACTGTATTCCTGCACAACACTCTCTGTGATGTCTGACAACCCAATGCAAAGTAAAGTGTGCCTGCAGACCTCCCGCAGCCTGCATCTTTCCCTGTGCCTGCCTGTCTTGGCTTCTCTCGGGTTCCCTATCTCTCCACCTCTGTCTCTCCACTTGCCTTTATTCATCCCCCAGGAATGAGGGCAGACCCTCAGTGTGGCTGGGGTGAGGTCGGGGGCATCGCCAACACTCACCTCTCACCCCCACCCTCACCGGTCAAGGGGATGTGTGACCCAAACAGAAGCAGAGAGGCCAGCCAGTGGCCAAACAAGTCCAGAGGGACGTATGCTGGAGAGGGGCTCTAAAGCCCGGGGCTTACATTTGGGGATAGGACTGCCTGCCCCTGAGAAGGCGGAGCCAGCATCCCCAGTGGGCGAATGCTCTCTAATCAGGGGCTGGCCAAGTAACAGGGTCTGGGGGCTGAGGGAGGCAGGAGACCGAGACGGTGACTTTTCTGTCCTTTCGCCAGGGAGTCTGCCGAGGGTCTCCTCGTCCGTGTCTCTCTGCGCCTCTGACCGTGTCTGTGTGGGTATGAGTATCTCTCATCGCCTGCTTCTGTCTCTGACAAACGAGGATGAGGCAGGCGTCCTGGGCGATCGTGGTCAGAGAAGGGGCCGGTCAGGTGTACCACGGGTGCCTGATGGTTCTCACAGAGCCCTGGATAGCCCCCAGAATGAGGAAGCAGCAAAGCACGACTAACGGGGGCAGACAAGCTGGGGAATCGTCTGCCTGGCATCTGGATGTTAATCAAGACTCAGCCAGTTCTTGAAACGTCCCCTGCTGCTGACAACGCAGCACCCCAGAGGAACCCCAGGGCCCGGTGCAAAGGGGCAGGCCCAGAGAGGGGGCAGCTCCCACAGGAAGCTGAGTGTCAAACAGACTCGCCTGGGCCGGAGCCTGTGCTGGGAGGCAGCCTTCCCACAGCCTTCCCTCCCCCCAGGCTGGGTCCTCAGTCAAGAGCCTCAGTGAAGGGACAGGCAGAGGCTGAGACCTGCCCTGCTGATAACAGCTGGATGCAGGGACCCTCGAACCAGGCAAGCACATGCACACACACACAAACACACACACACACACACTGAGCTGCCCTTCCTCACCTGCTGAACCCTCCCCAGGGCTCCAGACCAAGTTGAATCAGCCTAGGAGAAAGGCAGTGGAGCCGGGGTCTGCATGAGGGCTCTCTATCCAGGGCAAGGGGAACAGAAGGAAGGAGGGCCCCAGACTCTCCTCTCAGCCCTACTCATCTGTTTTCTCAGAGCCAGCTCCCTTCCCCTCCTATGACCCTCCAAACGACCTTGTGCCCATTTCAGACAAGGAAGCACAGGTTCACCAAAGGGATGAGATTTACCCCAGAGCACAGAAGCTCTCTCTCTCCCTCAAGCACAGCAGACCCCCATCACCTTGTCCGAAGTCAACCTGGAGGCTCAGGGCATTATCCTGAAGGCTCCAGATGCCTCCTCCCTACCCCCGCTGCTGCTGCCCAGAAGGGCCCCTGGACTCTGTCTCCCAGTGGGAGCTCAGGAGACGGCAGAGCTGGTCCAGACTGAACACTGTGGAGAGAGCCACGCTCTCCCGTCACAGCAGGGTGGGGCCAGGGCCAGCAGGCGCTCTCACAGGCCAAGTATGTGGGCTGGGGGTGAACCCTCCAGGGAAGAGGCTGTCCCCCCAAAACAGAGCCCTGGGGCCCAGCCTCCCCCCACCAGTATCCTACCTGTTCTCAGGCTCGAAGGAAGGTCAGCTCAGGAAGGTCCCGAAGGCTCAGCTGCCTGGGCCGAAGGAGGAAGCAGAGAGCCCTGCAGGAAGGAGCCAACTGGACGTCAGGGGTCATTCTGCATATTTCCTGTCCTACTCTGAGCTAGGGAAGGAGGCTCTGGAACATGGAAGGGAACTGGCTGGCAGAGAAGGGGGGCCCAGGGGTATGGACGGCTAGGCCCTGGGTCACACACAGGAGGGAGCCCATGGGCCAGAGCAGGAAGCAGAGGCCGTGCCGTGGGGGCTAGGGCCAGGAAAGGGCATGGAACCCATGCAGAAGCCACCTTAGCACACCCCAGGAGCCTGGGCTGCCAGGGATCAGTCATCCCCTCCCCCCCCAACAAGGCAGGCTCCTCCTGAGCTGTGGGGGAGGGGCCATAGCACGCAGGAAGCTGGGGAGTCCCATGACTTCTTCAGCTTTGGTTCCATTTCCCCACCCCTGGCTGATCTCACCTCACACCCAGCACCCCTATCTCATCTCATGGCTCCCTGGGCGTGGGCTGCAGCCCCAGGAGAACACTGGCTGCTCATCACTTCTGTCTTCACACCACTCCCAGGGCCCAGCACCAGTAGGTACTCAATAAATGTTTGAGCTGACCCAAACAGTGGAACTTGGTAAACCGCAATGCCACCTCCCCATAAAAGAAGAGCCAAGCCAGAAGCCGTTCTGACGCTGGGCAGGGAGGCGGTGAGCGGGACCCCATAGGTGGAGACTGAGGCAGAGGGCCAACTACAGAGACGAGAAGGAGGGAAGGGTCACCCCGGGAGGGCCCAGGCGGCCAGAGGGATGAGCGTGAGCCCAAAGACGCAGGATAGCCTTGGCCGAAGGACGGGAGCAGGCCACAGCCCTATCCTCAGTCACGGGGTCTCCTGTCCTGTCATGCTGGAGAAACCCAGATTCAAATCCCGACACAGCCTGTGTGGTGACCTTGGGGAAGCTCCTTCCCCACAGAGCCACAGTCTCAGTATACGTACTTCTGTAGATACAGCGATGTTGTATGTATGTATGTATGTATGTATGTATGAGGCAGAGATGGAGACAGAGGCACAGGGCTGGAGCAGAGGGTCACCAATCTCCCTTTGGGCTCTGGTCCGGTGGTCCTCCAGGGTCAGCCTTCAGACCACAGAGCACAGATCACAAAGACCTCGCGGTGGTGGGGGGGTGGGGAGAGCACACACACACACACTCTTAGGCGGAAGGGACCTGGTGGAGGCTTTCTGTGGACAGACTGACTGTGTGTGTCCATGTTGTGTATTGTGTGTGTGTGTGTGCTCACATGCTGTGTTCACACGTACCAAAAGGGCCTGCCTGCTGGGTTTCCACTGCCTCCCTCTAGCCTCATTATCACCCGAAGCATGTCTAAACAGAGCTGCTGGACGGCTGGTTCATCGCCCAGGAAATCCCAGGTACCAATTTCTCCCACTCGCCTTTCATCTTTCTTTGCTCTCCCCACGGTTAGGCCTCCGCAGGGCAGACAGGACCGAGGGCAGGACACAGGCAGGACTTGGCAGGATCCTCTGGCCCCACCCCCACCTCAGCCACAAAGAGAGGGGAGAACAGAGCTACTGTGTGTGCTGGGAGTGTTGGGGGGGGGGTGGCATTGCTCCCGACTTGGAGATTTAGGCCAGATCAGCAAGAGGAATCGAGTCTGAGCCCAGTCTGTGCCCAGGACAGCCATCTCCTGGGGCTGGGCCTAGAGAAAGGGAGGAGATGCTTGTCCCCCACCCCCACCGCCCAGCACTGGGTGGGATGAGTTCAATCCCTGGTAGACCTTTGTGGAGGGGGCAGTGGATGATTTGTCCTCCAGGGAGGCTGAGGGCGATCTTTGGGTGCCCCACCCTTACATGCGAGGACACCCCTCACCCCACGGCAAGGAGCTGCCCTGAGCATGCTTCCATAAACCCCAGCCAATCTAAGGGGCCCTCTCTTTTTAAAGAGGGTCAAGGAGAGCCTGGTGTCTAGGCAAGACAGAGCAAGAAGACCCAGAGAGAGAGAGCCAAGGTGCAGGAGAGAAAGGGCAGAGGCCCTTCCCACCCCCACCTGCCCCTATTCAGGACACACCCATTCCCCCTTCCCTAGGCTCAGGCACCACCCCTAAAGTTCTGGCCCCCAGAACCCACCCTGGAGGGTACCCGGCTCAGGATGGAACTGCTCGCCAAGCCCCTGGCTCCCTAAGGGATACCTAATGGCTTCGGTACTAATTAAACTGCATTTGAAGCTGTTAATGAGCAATGAGGCTGGCAATCAATAGTGTAGTAGGCACCAGCCTCATTGGCTCTAACCCGGAGCCTTCACCCCATCAGTGAGCAGCAGCAGAGATCTCCAGGGGGATCTCCCCTCCCTGGGCAGTGGAGACAGGGCCTATGCCTAAGTCGGGAAGACCAGGCTTCAAATGCCTCCTTTAGCACTTCCTACCTCACTCTGCCTCTCTTGGCCTCACTCTCCTCATCTGTAAAATGGGGATGATAACAGCACCCACCACACAGTGCTGTTGTAAGGATCAAATGAGGCAATAATGTGTGAATGTAAGCTATTGCTATATGCAGGTGGGGAAACTGAGGCAGAGAGGGGAAGGGATTTGCCCAAGGTCACACAATGCAAGGAGTGAACAGCAGAGCTGAGGTTTCCTGACCTGCTTTCTGAGGCACAGACCACAACCCCATTGGCTTCCCCTCTCCCCATCAGCTCCATTCAGCTCCATCAAAATAACTAAATCCCTGGTCCCCAGTGCCAAGTACCAAGCATGCCAAAGGGCTCCCAGGTGCTGGCAGCTCAATGAGGAGGGAGAGGACCACAGCATGGGCAGCGGGGGAACAGGACTTGGAAGGGGCGCACAGCAGAAAAAGCACTGTGGGGCAGGGGTGGGGGCTAAAGGCCCAGGACTGGTCTGCTCTTACACTATGCGTTGTGGAGTACTGCATCTCCATGTGTATTACTATAGATTATGTATATAAAGGTATTACAGATACCTTTGGAACCTTGGGCAAGTCAGCCAGCCCGGGGGGGGGGGGAGCCTTGATGGTGCTAGAAGTCAGGAGAACATCCTGGGCAGCAGGAAGCAGAGGGTGAGGAAGCTTGGCACACACAGCAGATGGTGTGGCTCCTGGACTGCCTGGGGGAAGGGGCATACTACGCTCCCACCCTGAGTTCGTCCTTCTCTGTTCCTGCCCCCACACCATGACAGAGCCCCATCAAGGGCCTCGAAGGAGCCTGGCTCTAACCACAGCAGAAATCTTTACTAAGCCAGTGGCTTTGGGGTGCCCGCTGCCCTCTCACCCTGCCCCCCAACCACTGAGACCCTGAGTGTTGGGAAATGGGCACCAGCATGCTTCCTCCACACAGAGTCCCCAGGAACAGTCTCAAGGGAATGAAGGAATTGGTGGGAATGAATGAAGGGGCCTTTCTAACCCTAAGGCAGAGCTGGGCTTGGAACAGTGCTGGGGCTGCTGCCAGCACACATTTAGGACCTGCAATTATTGGAGCCTTGAGGCTAGAAGGTAGGTGCTATTATCATCTCCATCTTACAGCTAAGTTAACTGAGGCAGACAGAAGCAGTGGGTCAGACAGCTGGTGTCCGAAGCCAGACTCATTTGAACTCTGATCTTCCTGAGGTCAAGCGCTGCGCTCTATCCACTGAGCCACCTAGCCTGGAACATATGGCTGGCTTTAGGAGTCGGGAATGGCTGATAACCTCTGCCACAGATTCAAAGAGCTATCTGCTTGGGCTTCTCCGCCCTGCCCCCAAACTGGGCAGAGAACAGGTGGTCTTGACGCCCTGAGTTGGCACAAAGAGCCTTCACAGCCCTGAGCCCAGGGGAGGGTCCCAGCATGACCAGAAAACCAGCAAAGCAGCCAGCATCCTACCTATGGCCAGAAAACATCGATGGCCCTGCGGGTCAAAGGGGTGGGCAGCTCTGGCCCTGGAGGACTGTCTTTCACACACGGCCCCAACCCTGAACATCCCAGGCATGTGCTACTCCATGCACATTTCTGAGGCATAGATATTCTCCCCACTGATGCTGAGTGTTTGTGGTACAGCAGGGCCCAGGTGACCCAGGGAGAATGCTCTCCTGCTGACTGTCTGAGCATGCTATCTCATTGAATGCCTTTGTTGGGAACTCACCATTTCCTCTGGCTGACACACTGAAGGGGACTCAGGAGCTACGGTTTTGAGTGGATTCAGACCCACACAGTGTCTTGAGTGCACATTAGCTTTTCTGGTGGCCTCACATACAAGATGGGGGTGCCCCAGATTCGTCCAGCACAATAAATGCCAGTTGACATGAGCAGCCTTAGCAAGATGTGGCTAAAGAGAAACCCAGCGACCTCCCTAAGTGCTCCCAGCAGCTCTGTGCACACATCAGGCAGCCTCGGGCAATGAGAGTCCATCTGTCCCAGACCCTTCACCTCCTGGTCTAAGCAGGGCCATGTCCCAGGTCACCCAGGAAGCAGCCCAGGTGGGATGCGATCCTCCACCTTTAGGCTGCATGCCACGCACCTGGGACTCTCTGGGGGGCCTGCCACATTGCTCATCTGCCTTGCCTGTAGACAGCTGGCTCTCCACAGGCAGCAGGATGGACAACGGGGGCAATGGGTCAGGTGGTCAGGCCTTGGGAGAAGCAGAGAACGCCCGCCACACCTCTCCCACTCCCCAGGGCTGGTTGGCCAAGCTGCTAGGATCCAGGCAGCACCACTAAAGGTACCCTTGCTCTTCTGCCCATGAGCCATGATGGAAAGTGCCACCCTGTGGAGCTGCTCTGCCCCAGGTCTTTCTCAGATGAAGCCTTTTCTACACAAGCCTTCCTAACTCTGGGCTTTCCGGAGCTCAGATGTTTTTTAATCCAATAGCAGAAACATCTGGTTGGCCCAAGTTTCTAGCCAGTCAAGGTCATCCTCCGCTTTGGGAACCTTCTCTCCCAGCTAGATGTGGTCACCCTGCAGTCAGGCGGCTGGAGAGACCTCCAGGGGCTCCCTGCTCAGCCCCTTCCGCTAATCCAGCAGGTTGGGGTGGCCTGAAGACAGCCTGAGGCTCCCTGGAATCCCACTTCAGTTGAAAGCTCACCCACCCAAGTGACCTCCCCACTCCCCACCCCTCCACTTCCAAGAACTTGGCCTTGAATCCCGCTGGTTACAAGTGGGAGATAATTTCTGGGCTGGGGGCTGACTCTGAACCCGAAGAGGGGAGAGCATGAGGTAGGGAGGGAAGGGGATTGGGGAATGACGTGCGCAGAGTCAGGACTCTGGATCAGAAGAAACGGGGTTCAAGCCCGTGCCCTAGCCCTCCCCTCACCCAGCCAGCCAGGCAGTTGCTGACCAGCCCTTGGCCCTTGGCCCTCTCAGGGCAGTGGGTAGTGCCTGTGGAGCTGGAGTCAAGAAGACCCGAGTTCAACTCCAGGCTCAGGTGTTTCCTACCCGGGTGATCCAGGACATTTCATCTCTGTTCATTTTCCAAATGAGATAACACTTGTAAAGAGACTGGCAAACAGTGGACACTACAAACGCTTGTTCCTTTCTTCTCCCACCCTTGGGCCGCCCCTTTTAGACGCGGCGGGGAACGGGAGTTAGGGGAAATGTCCCCTCCCTGCGGCCCCGCCTTCCAGGAAGGAGCGGGGAGTCGGCGCTGGGGGAGATGCTCCTCCACGGCCCCGCCTTCCAGGAGGGGAGGCTGGAGTCGAGGGGGGCCAGAGAGCCCACCCCTTCCTAGCAGGGAGATGAGGCCTAGCAAAAACAACATTCCTTCGGCTAAAAATAGCCCCAGCAACTCCCACCACACCAGGAAGTTTGGGCTTCAAGCAGAACTGCGGGTCAGCAGAAAGTCGGGGGGAGGGAGTAGACGGGGTTCATCCTGGAGCCCGGCCTCTCTCTTCACCCCCACGCCCTTGTCCCTTCTCCGTATCATACGGGCCCCTCTGAGCTGGGCCGGGCCCAGGGCGAGAGGGAAGGCTGTTTGGGCTTCTTAGCTGTGGGGCGGGGGAGATGATTCAGCCAGATCCGCTGGACAGAGGGCGGAGCAGGGTTGGAGAGCAGTGGGGGAGGGGCGGGGGAGGAGGGGCCCCGGCACCAGAGGGGCAGCTGTTAGCAGCAACCCTCCCTAACAATTTACATCTACGCAGGATGGGCCAGAGCTCGGTCCGGAAAGTAAGCCCCCCATCACGGCACACGCACACTCACGTACCACATCACACATACATAGACATAGACATACACCTCACGTGTGCACACACGTCACACACCCACACTTCATGAAACACTCGCCACACACGCAGGCACACATATTTCACGTATGCGCACTACTCACCACACACACACGCACACACCACACACACGTCAGAGTCAGGCACATCTCGCATCCGCATCCGCACCCACCCCCACCCCCTCTTCCTTTAGGGTATTTTAGTTAAGCACATCTGGCTCCGCTCGCAGCTGAAGGCAGGCCCATGCCCCCCTCCACACACACACACACATACACACATACACACACACACACACACACACACACACACACACACACACACGCGCGCGCCCGCCCAGTGGATTTGAATGGGCTACCCGCGAATGCTCCGCTTAGCAGAATGCCACAGGTCCCCTGGGGGCGGGGCCCAAGGTTCCGGAAAGGGCTGAGAAAGAACCTGACCGATCCCCTAACCAGTTCGGTCTGGTCCGGTCCGGCCCATCTACAGGCCGAGAATCCCGGCCGGGCAGCATCCCCAAGGGTTCTGGGATGGAGAAAGGAGGACGAGAAAGTGGGGGCGAGCGGGATTGGAGGAGGGCAGGAGGAGAGGGAGATAAGGGAGGGCCCCATGGCTCCCCACACACACATTCCTTGGCCGGCCGGGGTCAGCCACTACTCCGCCTTTTCTGGGAGCTCAGTGTAACTCGTTACTTCCCCTCAGGCTGGTCACCCTAAGCTGGGGCCCCTTCCCCTCAGCTCTGAGACAAGACCAGAGACCAAGGGGGGTGCAGGGGAGGAAGCCAGGCCTCTGGGACACGAGAAAAGGCTGTCCGTCCCCCCACATACAGAGCCCTTGGGGTCTTCTCTGGCTCCACACTTCCCTTGAGGACCCCCCCAACCGACCAAGTCCTCCCCACACTTGAGTCCATCCCCACCCCAGCCACACCCAAGACCTTTCCTCTTAGCCCTCTCAGGGGAACCCCAAAGGCCATCTGTTCAGGGCCAGTGAGGGGCTTCCCTGTCACTCAGACCCCCCTAACAAGATAATGAACCCTCATTCCCCAGGTCCCTGACCCAGCTCTCCCTATCCCCTCCCCCCAGTCTCCAGGGCCCCACCCCCAGTCAGACCTCTGGCTACCTCCCCTCTCCAATTTTGTCCCTACCAGAGGCCCAGCTCACTCACTGGCATGCCTTTGTTTCCCTCTGGGATGATTTCAGCTCTGCCGATCACTCCCTTCTAGCAGCCCCAGCAGCAGCTCCCACCCTGTGTGCCATCTCTGACTCACCCTTTCCCTGCTCAGAAAGAACTCCCAATTTCTGCCTTTCTGGGCAGTCTGGGAGCCGAGCTGCAGCAGGCCCAGGGGAGTGGTACCTCCTGACATTCATCACAGAACTATGGCTAGGGATGGACGACTAGGACCCAGGCATCAAGTGGGCATCGCCGGGTGCAAGGCAGCCCCAGGGCCCAGGGCAGGGGGCAGAGCAGCCGGAGAGCTGCTCAGTACTCACTGGAAGGGCTGCCAGCTTTCCTGAAGACTCTGGGTCCAGGTTGGAGTTTGAGCCCCAACCCTACCCCACCCTCCACGGCCATAAGCCCTTCAGAGAAAGGGGAAAAGTGAGAGCCTGAGACACAGGATGCCCCACACCCCTCCCAGGCAGCCTCTCTGGGTACCTGCCCAGACCCAGATATACAAGTAACCGGGAAGCAGAGGCCGAGGGAGCCGTGGGGCTCTGCGACTGAATCAAGTAAATGGTTTTTTAAAGCTGCCTATGTGCCCTTGGAAATACAAAGGAAAATTCAAAACAAAAGTCTATGCCCCAAAAAGCTCCGCAGGGAGTAACAGGTACAGAGCTAGGACCAGTGCCGGGGAGGGAAGCAAGGAAGGCAGAGGAAACTGAGGGCAGAGAAGGAGAGGGAAGGACCCAAGCACTGAGTCCTTCCTCAGCTGTTCTGGGAGGTCCAGCAGCCCCACTCTACAGGTAACAAAACAGAGGCCCATAGCAGCAAAGTGCCCTCCCTGAAAAGAGTTCAGTGGAGAATCATCTTGACTCCAGCCCCCCCAAGATGAGCAATGACCTCCTCCATGAGACACAGAGGCCTCCGGCCCCCCCAAGATGAGCAGTGACCCCCTCCACGAGAGGCAGAGATCAGCCCTCAGTCAGAACAATTTCCACAGCGCCCTCTCACACCCCCTAAGTCCAACCCCCCACCAGGAGCAGAGCCAGGAGTTCCTCAGTTTTCCCAAAGGGGATCAAGGGCGGGGAGTGACTCCCACACCTTGCCCCACCCCTAGCAGACAGAAGAAGGGAGGGAGGCTGCCTTCTGCAGCTCTCTGGGTGGGTCCAGTCCAGCGACCCTTCAGCAGCTGTCTGTGCACAGTTCCAATGGGGGGGGGAGGGGAAGAGGGGGCAGGGCTTCAGGCAGAGGGGTTCAACCAGTACCACAGGTGACCACTCAAGGTCTGGGTACAAAGGGCCCTGAAGTATCATGAGCACGAGAGGAATCACTCAGCCAAGAGCTGAGTGCCCAGGCTCCAGCCAAGGGCCAGCAGACCCTGCCTGGTCAGGGAGCCCCAGTACGCTGGCTTCCAGCCCCTGCTTTCTGCAGACCTTCCTTGGTCGAGCCCCTGGGCCAGGAAGGCAAGAGGCCCCAGCCTGGAGGATTACGGCAGCCTGAGGCCACTTCTGTCCCTCCACTCCCCCCCACCTCCCCAAAGAGCACTGAGCTGCCCTTGAGCTGGGCTGCTGGACACAAAGGCAAACATGCCTGTGCTGAGGGCCTGCCTGGCTGGGCCAGCCTCCTCAGCCCCCCAACTCCAGCCATGGAGGATGCAGGAGAAGGCCCCCAGAAAAGGGCAGCACAGAAGTATTGCCAACCTTCTGTGCTGCCAGCCCGCCCCAGAGCGCATCTCACCGCAGGGATCCCCCAGAAGGAAGGGCACATCCTCTGGCAAAGGGGCTGGGAAGAAAAAGAGGCCATCCCCACCTAGCATCTAAGGGGGGCCGTCCAGGAAAGGAGGACTGGGGGGCTGCTCTGCTTGGCCCCGAGGGCAGAGCTAGCCTTCTCAGAGTGTGCAGGGAGAGCCGACCATGGGAAGCAGCTGGGATGGAGGGGCCTGCGTCGGGAGGGGCGCCAGCAGGGAGGACCAGGAGGGAG